CTGAGGAATTCAGTCAAGAAGAACTGTGCTTAATTTCAGAACGATTGGTTCAGTAGATTTTCAGATATTGTGAACACGGACTTCAAAAATATCATTTCCAGAAAAACGCAATTGTAAATTTTGACAATTCTTGAAATCTGACTTCAGATTCGTAATCAGCAACCGCAAAACTTATACTTACACATCAACGACATCAGATAACATTTAGAAATGTCCGCAAAAAGTTAAACACAAGCTAAATTCAAAATATAAGAAAACACAACCCGCGGAGCAACCGGCACTTGAATGCTCAAATGCTCATCTTCGTCAAATTTGCTCCGATCGGCTTAAAATTTTTACACAATATTCTTGAAATATTATACATTCATTTAAAAAAAATCGGACAAGTGCGAGTTACACTCGCATTAAAACCGAGGGTTCCGTACCCTTAAACCTGAAATTTAAGGGGGTTAAAGTGTGAAGGCAGGTGGAAAAATTCCAGTTTTGCTTAATTTTTCCTGTAATGTGAACATAAAAACACATAGATAGACACATAGTCACATATAACGAAAATTATCAGTTTTTCCTTGAAAACGCTATGATAATCAACTCCAATCGTTCTCGCTATATTTTTTTTGTAATCTGCACGTAAAAATACGTAAAAATGTATAAATTTGAATCTCTTAAGATAAAATTTTCTTCTTTTTTTATTCGAAAAATCCATGATTTTTTCTAAAAATATGAGTTTTCCTTAAAAACAATATGATCATCAACTCCAATCGTGCTCGCTATATTTTTTCTGTAATCTATACGCGAAAATACGTATGTATATTTTTGATTTTTCCTTGACAACGCTATGTAAATCGATCCAAATCATGTTCGCTATATTTTTTCTGTAATTTTCGCGTAAAAATACATACATGTACCAAATATGAGATCTCTATGTGAAAAAATGTGGCCACCAGGGGGGGTACATAGTCATTTTTAGGGGTTTTTGGTAAAAATGCATGGTTTTTCCTTGACAACGCTATAATAATCAATTTCTATGAGATTCGTTAAATTTTTTCTGTAATCTACACGCCAAAATACATATATGTGTACCAAATTTCAGCCCTCTATATAAATTCGTGTGGTCGCTAGGAGAGGGGTACATGCCTTGCTTCACTAGTTTCATTAATAGAGTTCCTTCTTCGGGTACGGAACCCTAAAAATAAACAAAAATGCAAAAAAAAATTAAATACCATACCCCCCCCCCTTTAAATAAATTTTGGCCTTTAAATATTCAAGGTCAAAATGTTAATTTACGTATATCTCAAATTTGGATTTTTTTAACTATCTCAATGGAAAGCTTAACTAATTTCCTACACAATATGTAATTTTCAGAGTGGAATATTTTATAGTTTTTGAGATAGAAACAACTGATCACACGCGAGCCGTCACGCCCGGCAATGTGTTATTTTTGCATTTTCATTTTTAAAACCTAATTTCTCTTGAAGGAATTGACCAAATTAAATGAACCTTAGACCAAAATAAAGCTAAATAAATGTAGAATACACGAAAATTATAGAGAATCCTTGATCTACTTTTTTGAGCTCCTGGGAATTGAGTGAAGTTAGAAATTTTTATGAAAAAATGATAAAATAAAGTATAAAAACCTGTAAACCATGGTAAAATTTAATAAAACAATTTTTTGTAAGCATGTGAGATCATTGAATATAAAAATAAAGTTCAAGTCTTGAAATTCAAAATGGCGGACTAAATTACCAAAATTTTAAAAAACTTTCTGATTTGTCCAAAGTGCAGTATTCTAATGTTTTCAAGGTCGCTGAATTACAATATGATGGTAAAATTAAAAATTTCAAAATAGCGAACCCAGTATGGCGGAGAAAATTTTTTTAAAATGCTTAGATTTCAAGAAAACGTAATATTTTATTGTTTTTTTAGCCTCGAAATTCAAATATGATGTTTCAATTGAATAATTAATTTTTTTAAATTACACATATAAAAGTAATAGAGCATCTAACATAATTTGTTTTAAAATATATTTTAACGATTAAAACGACTAGATATTAGTAGAACTAAACAATTGTTCACTTCTACTTAATCTTCTGTTAAAATATATCCATCACTTTAAGAACTTGTATCACTTTCGTAGGTATCTTCAACTATAATATGTTTTAAAATAGTAGTTAGTGCATTTACCCTATATTTTATAGTTCACTGCGTTCTTTATTTAAAGTAGAACATTTTAAGTTTTTTCAGTCGATTTCTTATTATCTTCTGTTGTGTATCTGATAATAAAGTAGTTTTTTGATCACAAGATAAATTACAAAACGCAGATAAATACAAAATTTTGTATGCAAAATAAAATAATGAAAAAGTTGTAGTTCTTCCAAAATTTTGTTCTATTATAATAAAATCAAGACACTATGTTCACTTGAACCATGATAATTGACTCCTGACATTAACATTCATATCATGTTTATGTACTTGTAAGTTGAAAATATTTTAAAACACATTGTATTTTAAGAAATAAACATATGAATTTCACCAAAACTTATGGCAAAAGTTTTTTTTAGCAAGGGACACGAATATCGCAATTTAAACGAATTGAACCATATACGCTGTAGAATAAGCAAAATTTAACTAATTGATAAGCACATATAAAGTGATTGGAATTAATGGTACGCTTACAGTTAAGAGTCGGGGTGATTTAGCTGATTTAAGTTTAAAAAGTATATTAATATAACCGTATCTGGTCAATTGACTAGATCAACGCGTTTAAGGTCTATAGGAGTATAAAAAACACTTATATGGAAAAAAGTAAATTTTTTTCCTTAATTTTAACATTTTTATGACCCTGTATGTTCCTCAAAGAAAAAATAATATGGTTTGAATATTAAATAAATAATATTTAATAATATGTAATAATATAAATAATATAAAAAATATTTATTTATTTATAACATTTTTTATTTATCTATAAGATTTTTGTTTTTGTAAAACAATATATTTAATAATATGCTTTACGAAAATTATTGTTGGACAAGTTTTTTATCGTTCCCAACTCTGGTTTTGAACACTTGCTTCCCAAACCTGTTTGTTTACAAGTGTCAGCTGGCATTGTTGGCAAACACATTTTCTTTACAAAAATAATTAAATTTATTAAATTTACAACATTTTCAGGATTTTTCATCTTAAAAATACATTTTGTAAGTTTTTCATTAAGTTATAAATCCATGAAAACACGTATTTTATGTTTCAATTAGTCAGATTAAAAAATTGCATCCATCTTTCTAGTAATATTTTGGTAACATTTTTACCCATCACAATATTACCTTTTACCCTGTACCTAAACGCATTTTACCCTCTACCCACAATCACTTTTTACCATTTTTTTTTCTGTGTTAAATAATACCAAAAATTTTAAATGTTTATTAACTGAAAGTAGAATTTAATATTTAGAAAAATTCTTTAAAATAGTTACTTAAATCATAATTATGTTTTAATTTCATATATAAATTTAAATCTAAAATTTTAATTGTACACTTTAGGAATATTAACTCTAAGCTCACATATATCCATGTAAAGGTATTCAGTCAATATTGCCTAAATATTTACGTCTAATTTTTGTTTATGTTTTGCTTTAAACATTTTTTTACATCTTCAAACACATTTTTATATATACTGCTATGTTGGTTGTATAAATTAATAATTATTTATAATAACTACATAAATTAAATTACTGAAAAAGAAATATATAAATGAAATTCACAAGATAATTTAAAGTGCAAAGACCCTTAAGTTGAGCTTAGTTCCGAACAACCGTGCTCTTATTACTCATTTCAAGCTTTAGACATATCTCCAATATAAAAACGATCTCAATTACGCGGCCGTTGATCTTCTTGGCCAGTCTCTAAATGTTTTTAACTCCACATTTAAGTCATTTAAATAAAGTGGGTTGTATAATGTTTTTAATAATTTCTTGTTACTTTGAAATCTGTTTTTCAAAAGGAAAGATACTGCGATTAAATTCAATTTTTAAAAATTATTATAAACCAATTTTGTTTCAAGTATTTTTAGTGTCATAATATGAATACATTTTTTACACATATATTTAAATTGTTAACATTAAAAATATTACCACAGAATTTATTGTATTTCACATTTACATGCTTTCACATTTTTAAATATATTACTAAATAATTAAATTTTGCTAAATAGTATAAATATGTATTTGTATACGTATAAACACGATTATAATAATATAATTACTTGAAAATGTATTATATATTTTTTTACTTTTTTTATCAAGATAAATATTTAATTGTTTTTGTAACTACTTATAATTACAATTTTATAACGTTAATATTAAATTTTCCTAATATTAAAGTGTGAAGATTAGATAATATCTGTTTAATTAAAATGTTTACTTGTGAGAAAATTTTTTATCTAAAATTTAAATAGCAACATTAAGGAAATTTTGACTACATATATTCAAGTATTGTCGCAACATTACATTGAATATTGCCTATAACTTTGCAGTACTATATTCACTTAAACTTTAAGTTCAAAATTTCCTCACATGTAGGTATTTTAAAATTAAACAAATATTTCCTGTCTTTCGCAATTGAATATTTCGAAGACTGCAAATTAACTTTAGAAATTGTATTGGAAACTAATAAACTCATTTGTTAATTAGCTGTTTTAAAATATAAACATAAGTCAGATTTGTTAAATAATATATCTTCAAACACTTTTTAAATTTAAAGAACAGATTTTCATAGATGAGATATACAAATAATTTATATCTAATAGATATTTAAAGAAACAGTTAGATATCGATTTATTTATTCTTAATTGCATTTTAATTACTTAATAAGATGATGAAGAAAAGTAAATACTTTTCTCTATTTTATTTATTATTATTTATTTAATTTCTTTTAGTACATTATAATAATGCACATAGTAAAATGCGAAAACAATATTTTAAAACATGTCTATTAATCTTATATACTTACAAGATGTTATTATAATACGTAGGATATTTAGATGTTCACTCAACAGAGGAAGATATGGCACTAGTTAAGTATTTATCATATTCTACAGCTTATTTACACTCTCAGCTGGGGCATTACATTTCAAAGAAAAATTTCAAATCTTCAAATTTTTTATTTATTAAAACGTACATTTATTTTAAACATTATTATACGTGAAAATCTCACGAGATGAGGGAAAATTGCGTACTGTGATGTCAATGTGGAAAAATTGCTCCATATTGTCATACCACGTTTTTATACTTTTAATAATATTACTCGGAAGCATGGAAAGTAAGAAAAAAAATTTTTTAACAAAAATAAAGCTTTGAATAAATATTTTTTCGTTGAAATCGAAAAAATCTTTAAATTCGTAGTCTAACTTGCATTAAATCCAATTTTCATTGTGTGATACCTTTTTGAACATTCTCTTTTAATGCTTGGGGTTTTTTGACGTTCATTTACAGGTTCTGAAGGATAAGAATAAGGCCTAAAAAATTCTAATTTAATAAAAAAAGATGTATTAAACGAGTGTGCCTGTTGTAGAAACGGTGATAATGGTCTGTTCACAACTGTAACTGCATTTCACTTTACTAACGAAAATAATTAATTTTCTAATAATACTTTTTGAAGTCATGTGAAGTTGGCACCAAAATCTCAGAAAATGAAAAATCCACAATGAGTTCTGGGTAAATTATCAATAGCTCTAGAGTTCTATAAGTTTTAATTCAATAGTTCCGTAGATTTAGACCAGAAAACATGATATTAAAAAAATAAGGTGCTAACTTCACCCAGCACTATAAATTTCGCAAAAAAGAGTTCTGACATATTATTCCGATAGAAAATACAGAGTTCTAGAGTTCTCTTATAAAACAAAAAAAAGTTCCGCAAAATTTAAAAATTTTTAATTTTGAAAAATTTAAAGTTTTAGTCAATTTGACCAAAGTTCTGGCACCTTTATCAATAGTTCAACAAATTATTCTTATGAAATTCTACTCTTAAGGGTATGTGGGAACCTCCCACGTGACCTAGTATGGAAAAACGTATTTTGTTATTATACATCCTTCTCTAAAACGAGAAAAGATTTTTGTCTAAAATTTTGAGGGATGATAGATTTTGGAACTTACAATGAATCTCGCTGTTCTCCGAAAAATCATTTTTTATTTCAGAGAAAGATTCAAACCACAAAAAAACCTCCTTCGCCCACATACCCTTAACTCAAAATCAAAACAAGTGCTGAACTTTGAAATTTTTGAACAAATTTGAGTTCTCATGAGTTCTAATTAGAGTTCTGGCATCTTCATCAAGAGTTCTACAACTTATCCTTATCAAATTTTACTCTAAATTCAAAATCAAAAAAAGTGCTGAACTTTGAAATTTCCGAAAATTTTTTTTCAAAAATTTGAGTTTTTATGAGTTCTGATAAGAGGTTTAGCATCTTCGTAAAGAGTTCTACGATTTATCCTTAGAACATTTTACTCAAAATTTAAAATTAAAAAAAATGGGTGAACTTTGATATTCTAAACAAATTTTTTTTCAAAATTAACCTTTTTATGAGTTCTGAGTAGTTCTAACAGAGTTGTAGAGTTCCCTATTTTTTTAAAAATAGAACTGCAAATATACAGTCGAAAATTTTTTTACTTTCATAAATTTTTATATTACGAGTTGCACATGTTCTGATGGGAAATCTTTTTACCCCCCCCCCCCACTATGTTCTACAAAAAACACTCCTAAAATTTTTTTCTAAACTTAAAATTACAAAAACTACATGACCTCAAAATTTAAAAAAAAAATGTTTCAAAATTGAGTTCCAAGAGTTATGTTGCGAGTTCAATTTAACACATTTTGATTTCTAAGACTTTGGACTTTAGACAGGCTAAAAATAGGCTATTTTCATATATTTTTTTAGTTTTATATTACAAATATTGATATGCGAGGTATTGCACATAATAAATACACTCTCGAAATGCAAAAAAAAAATATTTTTGATTTTTTTCAATTAATTTTTTTATTTAAAAATACATGTTGAAAAATATGTTTCAAAAAAGTGTGGTGCGCGCTGTTGATGAAATTTTTGACACGGATGGTCTGAAACAAAAAATTCAAACGGTATTAGATTCAGCACGTTGATAGCTATTGCGCATATCATACGATTTTTTTTATGTAAAATTGACAAAATGGCGGACATTTTTCGAAAAAAATGTAAAAAAACGTTGTTTATGACCGTTTTGGGCCCAAAAAAATATTTAGAATCAAAATTTTTAAAATCCCTTGATATGCGAGTAGTAGGGCTGTGCCAGTTCTAAAACACAGGTAATGCAGGTATCTACATTACCGACATATGGTAACTCTACTTTACCCTTGGCGGATGTTACCGACCGTTGCCGCGAGATGGCGCTGTTGCTCGCGGGAATTTTTGAATTTTAACCCTTTTGGTTAGGTTGGTGTTACCGACCGTTGTCACCAGATGGCGCTGTTGTTCGCGGGAATTTTTAAAATTTTTAACCCGTTTGGTCACCTCTCTTACCACACACTTTCCACCCTCTTGGTCACCCACCACCCCCCTTATTTGCATATGATTTTTTAAAATTTAACCCTTTTGATCGCCTACCCACCCACATAATTTGCATATATGTATTCTCTATGTATAAACATATACGGCCCCAAAAATTTAAAAATCATAATTAGAACCTCGAGGAACAAAGGGTTCGCGAGATACCGCGCGGGACGGTGGGTGGTTGGGAGTGGGTGGCGCACAATGGATGACTCAAAAGTGAAAGGTGCGCGGCAGATTTGCGCGTACGGTCACCGGGGCCAGTTGGTAGTCCATGCGTCAAGTGGGGGTGTAGTTCAATGGTGGGATGTTGTGTATGGTGGGGACTACATGTACCTCAGGCGATTCCCGTGGCAAGAAAAGTCAATCTGTTTCAGCTTCCAGAATCAGCAACATCAGACCTCTGGCTAGTCGTATATCTACAGCAATCCTCTTCAGAGGTCTCATTCCAGTACAAAACTTTGTTGAAGAAGCAGTACCAAGAGCATCAGCGTGAGTTAATCTTAGTCTTATATTCTTATACATAAATTATATCAAATTAATCATAATCCTTTTTTCTGTTTTAGATTCAAGAATATCAAGTCAATCTTCCTACAAGAGACAAACATTCATTTGCATTGCCAAATTTTATAACAGCATTGTAAGTTTACTCAAATTATATATCTTTGCATACATTTCTCTTAATATTCATCAATTTGATTATAATTCTATTTCTGTTTCAGATATACTAAAAGTAGCAGAGTAAAGCTTCACAACATCATCTTCGGGGGACATCTTTAAAAAGCGTTTGTCATCGAGCACTACCCCCACACCTCACCCCTTCACCACCACTACTTCCTTTCCAACATGTTCCAAATTCTTTTGATAGGTTTTTCAGATTTTTTTAGGTTATTTTCAGCATTTTTTTAGCCTTCTTTTTTAGCGTTCTTTTCAGTATTATTTTCAGCGTTCTTTTCAGATTTTTTCAGCTTTTTCCTCATTTAATCCTTTTCAGAATTAAAAAAAAAATGGCTAACAGTAGAAATATCGAAACATCTAAACCATACACCTCTATTGATAGTTTCAATGAGATTTGTGAAGCCTCAGACAATTTCATTGATGCTGCCAATATAGAGTTATGCTCTAGAAAATCCGGTGACGATCGACTCATTAGTGCGTTTCAGTGGCATCACAAGTCTAGACAAAATTATGCAATTTTAATTAAATTTTTTAGAAAATATAGCTTCTCAGTTCCTCAAAAACATAGGATCTTAACATTATTACATCATATAAATTACTTGAAATGCCACTTTGATTCGCTAATGAAGCACGGTGCAGGACTTAATCAAACAAATGAAAAAATTAAATGGGCTCTAACTGATTCGGCTTTTAATAATCGATTACAAACCGGTACAGTTATTAACTTAAGTCACTTAGATGTTAATGAATTTTTAGATGATGCCTTTGTTCCTTTTGAAAATCACATTAAAACTTGCTTAGACACGTTCGGTCCGTTGAAAGTATATGGGTGATTCTCCAGAAACAGGTCACTTTTGATTCTTTGATTAATTAGTTAATAAATATTATCTAGAATTGGTTTATTTTTTTTTTAATTTCTTCATTTTAATGATCTTTAATAAACTCATTATCAATATAATGATATTTTACTACTATTATATTTTACTACTACATGGATTTTGCTATTTTTGAATAAGATTTTTGACATTAAAATTAAAAAAATAAAATTTGTCATTATAGTCATTTTAAAGTATGGCTGAAAAACTGTTATTCCCTAAAAGGGTTTTTAATTTTTCGTCCATTTAAATAAAAAAATGTTTATTTATAATGTTTCTTCGTAAATTTTTTTCTGGATCCGGAGTTGAGAATTTGACTAGTTTTTCGAGGTTTTGCTTGTTATTTTCATTGTAACTAAAGCAATTTTTTGATAAATATGTGTAAAAATCCCAATTGAATAAAAATCAACGATACTAATTAACTAATTAACTTTTAAATTTATATTATTAAACAATACAATTTGCGTATTTTTATTATGTCTCAACTCCGAACCTGTTTAAAACAATCGTTTTTCAAAATAATTTTGAATTTCAACCTATAGTATCGATAAAAGTAATAAAATTGTATAAAATCCCTAAAGGATTTTTTATTTAGTCCTTAATTAACAAAGTAATTAATGTTTTGCTTCCTCGTGGAGGAAGCTATGTAGTCCTTTCGTTTATAAAAATTTTAAAAATGGTGAAAACAAATTTTCCTCTATATAGAAACATGTTATATGAGATCCTGATCAATTGTCCGGATGTATGTATGTGTGTGTGTATGTGTGTGTGTGTGTGTGTGTGTATGTGTGTGTGGATCGTTTTTGTGAACACGATATCTTTAACAGGTTTTAATGGATTTGGATAAAATTTGGTAGGCTTATTTAACACATTAATCTCTCAAAAATGACGAGAGGATTTTTAAAAATACCCCAAAAAAAAAATTTTATCGTCT